TGGCATGGCGGCACCACACCAACTGTTGCGCCATGCACTTGTCCGCCACTTGCAGCATTGATGCACTTTGATATATGCACACGTATGTATGTGCATGTGTATGTGCTGGCTCTTTGCATGCGCACTTGAATGCGCACAGAATCATCGTAAAATCGTAAAAGCATCAGTGGAAAAGAACATGAAATTGATTAATGCATTTATGGCGGCGCGGCCAATGCGGCAGACATCTGCTTAAGTATGTATAAATATGTAAGCATATGTATGTATATATAATTATGTATGTATAATTATGTATGCATATAAATAAATATGTGCGCTTTTATTGCCAGGAAGGAAGCTAAGCACATATGCGCTGCGGCATATATGCGACGAACGTCTGCGCGACAGTTCATGGCGGCTAGGTGGCACTCAACTGCTGGCCACAAATGCATGGTATATACATGTGTATATCTGCACTTCCCGATATGTAAATGCAGTTGGTGCCGAAAGTGGAAAAAATCGAAAAAAAAGTCGACTCAACCCAACTAAAGCTTACAATCCGCGCTTCAGCATCATTACCATTACCATTTCCACTTCCCAGCCCATTTCCATAAATGCTTCCACCACACCACTTACAAACACACGTTGCCTGTGTATTGTATGGCCATCGACTTGTACTTAAACTTGAAAATTAATCTTATGAGCGTGTTGCTTATTGTTATAATAACGATGTGCAAAAGCACTTGTAATGGCTAACGCGCCCTGCCTGCCTGCCTGCTGGCCGCTTAAGCGCTGGAGTGCAACACATGGCACAGGAATGCTGCAACACTACACTCTTTCTATATATGCGTATATTATCGATATTTTTACTATGAATAGCTGTGTGTGCATCTTGCAAAATAGCGTTGCATAGCGTCCACTTGAGCAATGAATACATTATTTATGGTTTTGTCGAGTTGATTTTGARGTAAACTCTGATTTCCTGGCGATTAAAGTGGTTTTTAGTGTTTTGATAGTGAAATCGAAAAATGATGTCTTTATTTCGTTGGCAGAATTTTTTATGTGCCTTTTTTCTGCAATATGCAATTTATTCAAGCTAGCTGCAAGTACTTGTGAGTGGGACGATCGTTAAGCAATTGATCGTACAATAAAGATAAACGAAGCAGGCGGGCAGAGAGCAGCGCCGCATTAAGAAGGTCTCAATTTCAGTTTAGGGTTAACTCTTTATGTGTTAAAAATGTTTATTTTTAATCAAAAAATTTACTAACTAAATGTTAATAACAACTAGTGGAGATCATTACTAACTTCTTGATACTTTGGCAACACTTCGCCTAGGTTTATTACGGTTAAAGGGTTATATCCACTTTTCACTTTCAGARAATCGTTTTTTGTTTTGCATTATTTCAGAATTTACATGTACTTGAACATTTTTTTCTAAAATTAATCCAACAAACAGTTTCCGAGCTATGAGCATATTTCCAACATTTTTCTCGAAGCGCTGCTTTCAGAGTCGGTGAGGGAAATTTCCTCCAAATCCTTGAAACTTTCACACGACTTTTTTGGAWGTATTAGTATATGGTAATCATAATGTTTACATGATTCGATTTTTGAAACCACTTTTAATGTAACAAGTACATTTTTTGTGTCTGAAAKCAAAATTTTGAATAGTGCTTCCATCATTACCTGCATTCATCTACGGCTACAATAAATTTTTCCGATTTTTGGATTTGTGATCATTTCAAGGGGTTACATGGGCTTACAAGTTTCAAAAATCGAACTTTTTTATTATCTTATTAAATTTTAGAACRCTTCTAATATATTTTCAAGTTGATCCGAATAATARTTTCGCAAATACGGGTTTGAGAACTTATGTGCCGTCTTTAAATGCGATTTTCTCGAAAATATTTTTTCCAAAAATTTCAGAATTTTTTTGGTTAGTAGTGTATGTTTTTAGTAATAAAAATAAAAAAGGATTTGTATATAATAGATTGTCAAAAAAGTCTTGCGGTATTTTTATTGATTTTATTTTTTTTATTGATCATGCCAGCTCTTGATCGGTCTCTTTCGACCAATTCAGCGATTTCATCGCAATTTTCGAGGACAGGCTTTCCGGAGCGTTTCGCATCTTCCACCACCTCTACACCAGAACGAAAACGTTGAAACCATTGTCGTGCGGTGGAAATGGAAACTGTATCGTGTCCATAAACTGCACAAATTTTATTGGCGGCTTGAGATGCATTTTTGCCTTTATCGTAGTAGTACTGTAAAATATACCGTATTTTCTCTTTA